CATATTCATGGGCATTAGGAATGAGTGTGGGTATGTGTGCATGGTATGATCAAACACTACTTTTGGTGCTTGATAAGTGGGCTCAGGAAAGTTGGATTGAAAATCCGACTGAATCGCATGGTTGCACAAAAAACTTGTGTCAGGTATAACAAGTAGGGCTACACTCTCCCTCGGGTGCAAGACCTGGCTACTTAGTTCATACACTCTCCTGAGATGAAATTTCAGAAAAATGTATTGGTTTGTGGAACTTACGGTGTGATACCAAAACTCTGCTAACCAACAAATACACAAGATTTTGTTTTATAAAATACCTAGTTTGTACATTCACTTGAGGTGAAATTCTAGAAAAGTGTATTTGTTTTTATAAATTAGTCATTCGATGTGTAACATCCAACAATGACTCAGTTTATAAACACATGATTTTATTCTATAAAATAATCATTGGATGTAATTCATCAATGATAGATTTGCTACACAATGACATTGCATTGTGTTGCAGGAGTTAGTGAGGACTCGGATTAAAGTGCATAAGTGAATATCATCTCATATCATGACTTGACATGGTAGGATTCCAACATTAAATGACATTTTCTTGTTTGGAATGGAAAATGATTGTTGATTATTACAGGTGCACATTTCATATGCATCTAGGGGGGAGAGTAGTCTCTGTAGGAGATACTCTATTGAGCGTAGCTCACCCTATATTAAAAAATATTTCAGGTAGGGGATACACACCAGTGGACGGCTCTCATTCGGGCCACAGTGTTGAAAAAAAGGTAGACTTTGTGGCCTGAAATTCGTTTTTGTAAAACTAGTGTGAAAATTATGTTTTGGGTATGTAATCGTATGAAATTGCTGTAATAGAACTTGTATATATTAGGTTGTATGTGAAAAACCTTATTAAGCATGTTTTGCATGGTGGTGAAAGGGATTGAAAATTGAAAACTGAAAACTGGTGAAATAGACAAAATTGGACAAAGCCTACCAGTAGAACTTTGTCCAGTAGACAAACCCTATCGGTAGGAATTTTTCAGTAAGCTCACCTTATCGGTAGACCTTTCAAAAATCTAAAATTTTAAAACTGTTTTGCCATGCTTTTGGGCCATGTGTCCTTCCTTCTAAATGATGTAAATGGACTATAATGGAGTATGAAATATGGTACATTAGACCACGATTTGATTAAATGATAAAATATACACGGGTTGTGGGTTATAATCCTAGTTAAGGGGGTGTTATAAACGTGACGTCGAGTTGTGTGACAATCACAAGTATTTTCACGTGTTGACGGGTGATCAACGGTTAATAAAGGACCCCCAATTTTAGGGGCGTTACAATCTTTGAACTTATGACAATCTAGAAGGGGTGTGATTGATATTTACCGAATTACCAACATGTCAGCATTATTTAAGCCAAGGTGGCGTTTGGTAACCACCCATTTCCCTTTTTTTTTTCGTTTTTGTTTTCATTTTATGGCTAAAAAAAAAATAAAAACATGTTTGGTAAATGTTTTTATTTTTTTTAATTGCTCTGTTTTAAAAACAAGGCTAAAATATAGAAACATCCAAAAGGATGTTTTTGAAAACATCCAAAAAAAAAAGCGCGATTCATTTAATGAGGTCTGGGCTTCGATCCACTTTAGCAACAAAATATGATTTTTTTTGCTTGAGTATATAAAAGGGCATATCTCTCTTTCACCTCTCATATCTCTGTCTTCTTTCTCTCTCTCTCTCTGCTAAAGACAAAGCTGAAACCAGACGAAGACAAAGAGAAGTCAAAGCAGAAGGATTCAGACACCATCTCCCCCTTTTCTCTCTGTTGGTCTCACTCTCTCTCTCAGCCTTCTCTATTTTTGGTGGTGGTGATGGATTTTGAGGAGTGGTGGTGAGTTTCACTAGTAGTGGTGGGGTTGGTTGGTGGTGATGGGTTGGGTGGTGGTGGATTTTCAAGGATGGGGGTGGGTTGGATGGTTGTGGATTTGGGGATGGGGTGGGGTTGGGTGGCTGTGGGTTTCGGGGTTGGGGGTGGGTTGGGTGGTTGTGGGTTTTTAGGGTATATTGTTGTTGATTTTAACATCTCTCTCACTCACTGTATATATGAATCTGTGCTTGTGTGTGTGCATCTATGTGTGTGATTTATGCATCTGGTTGTGTATGTGTGTGTGTGTGTGCATTTGAGTGGGTGGATGCATCTGGGGGGGGGGGCAATGGGTTTCACAGAGGGGTTGGGTTTGGGTGGTGGTGGTGGTGGGGTTGGGTGGTGGTGACTTTTAGGGGAAGGGTTTTGGGGGTGTGAGTTCTAGTGGTAGTTTTAAGTGGTGAATTTTTGGGATAATACCAAACAAGTTTCTTATTTTTGTTTTCATAATTTTTTAAATGTAAATGACTGTCAAACATATTTTATAATTTTAATTTTTATCACAAAAAAATAAAACTTAATTCTGTTTTTTTTATAAAAAAAAACATAAAAATAAAAACGTTACCAAACGCACCCCAAATTAATAAGGGAGGGACTACATTTGCCTTTATATTAAGGGTAAATAACATAATTGATCCCTAAACTTTGTCTTCAATTTCAATTTAGTCTTTAAACTTTTTTTTTTCCAGGTCTTTGAATTTTCAATTGACCTAATTTAGTCGAGTTTTTTCACAAACCCAGCCTCTCCACTAACTTAATTCCAAAATCCAATCTGTTTTAAACTTAATTTCTAAATCCAGTCTTTTTTTAAAAACGTTATTTGAAATGACGCTTTTAATATAAAAAACGTCATTTGAAATGACATTTTTAATCTTGATCCAAGTGAACAAAAATTGTGATAATTACGGAATAAAATGTCATTTAAAGTGACACGTTAAAAATTATCATTTAAAATGACGTTTTTTTTTGCTATTTTTAACGGTTCGGTAACCACGTTAAATATTAGGTAAAATTTAATAGAATGTAAGCGAAAACGATGAATCTAAAGACGTCATTTTTAAATGACGGTTTATATCTTTACATTCCCAAATTACAGATCTCAGATTTTTTAAAACAAATTACTCCCTCTATCGGATCTCTTTCTCAGATCCCCTGTCCTCTTCCTCCATCCACTCTCAGCCACCATCTTCTCCGACGAGGAGCATCGATTTCTCCTCTTTCTCCAACCACTAAGCTAGACCCTTCTCCGACGAGGAAACCCAGTTCGCCGAGGAAGCCTTGTCTGACAAAGAAGACCACTCCGGCAACCAAATTTCTCCGGTGGTGCTCTCTCCATTTCTTTCGGTATTTTTCACCCTCTATCTGTTAAGATGTACTACTACATTTTCTCCGGTATACTAAATGTATTCGTTTTATTCTCATTTTCTTCTCTATCTGTTACAATTGTAGTCTATAAATACCATATGTAATGTAGTGTTAGAGGTGAGTTGTAGAGTTAGGGGAAGAATCCAAGTTGAGTGTTGACTGTAATAACATGAATGTGCACTGAAGCAGAGGGCAAAGCCATTGAAAAGTTCATGGAGTTGTTCAAGGATGTAACTTTCCCACCTAGTTCATCTATTCTTTTCGCCCTATCACCCCTTGGATCGTTAATAATATGTGGTAAAATATCTCATGCTTAAATTCAATATTATGCTTCATCTTTTGATCATTTCACATAAGTAGAACATTTTAATTTTAATCTGATGTGTTTCAATTATGTCTTTTAATATTGTCACCTAAACAGAAAAAACCTATAGATAAATGGAATATTGAATAGGTCATGTGTATCTCAGCTTTTTCCTTAGCAGCAGCATTACTCAAGGCTTAGAGATAGCCATCTTCTGCCATAGACTTCATTATCAATCACCAATTTTATGTCCTCCTATGGTCTCTATAATGAGTGGACCTGTTAAAAACAGTCTGTGTTGTCACCGTAGTTAAATGTGGTATTTTATTGAATATTTCAGTTAGCTTCACACAACTGTTAGGGCTTCGAGAAGTGGTTTTCTTCTAGAACCTCAATGCTGTTGCTTTTTCTTCAAAATATAAGAAGTTATGCATTGGTAGATTTGCTCAATATTTGCCAGTTATAGAATCAGTTCAATTCGGCTAGTAGTTTCTCATAATGCTAGCACCCGAGTATGCTGAACAAGAGCATGAGATAAATTCGAAGTGTTTGATGCCATGATTGAGTGAAATAGATTACTTCCTTGCTGCATGGTGATTCGCTGGTCCTAGTTAATTCTATTTTGGGTTTTTTGTAATTGCCCATTGGCCTTGTCTGAGTTATGAAGTTGATAGAAGTTTGCAGGGTTTTGCAGAAAACGAGCTGATTCAGGTTATGAAGTTGAGATTAATCTGTACCTCTGAAATGCCTTCGAGGAGACCAAACATGGCTGAGGTTGTTGAGATTTGTGAGTCCATCAGGAATGGATTGCAACCGTAGCAAGGGAATTAGAGAGTTGTTTTTGGACTGTCTCAGAGTTGAATCAGCAATATTAGTTTACCTGCACGAGTATTTGGTTACAAAGTGGAGAGAATAGGAGACATCAGGCATCTTAGAGCAAAAGAAAAAAAAAAAGCAGAAGAAGATTCTTTTGTATTCATTTTTGGGTTTTTACCATTTTCAATTGTTCCTTGTAATTTTTGCAACAAGTCCATTGATTTTTTGTATCCAATTTGTTCCTTGTAATTTTTTGTATCCAAGTTGCAGGAAGAGGGAGAGGGGTGATTGAGACAGAGGGGGCAAAAACCTTTCTGTTCTGAAGGCAAAAACTTTAAAACAAAACAAAAGTATCTGCTATCGTCAACACACAGCTTCATCTTGAGCTGATTCCTCTCTGGACATGAACAAGCTTGATATATTACAAAAAGAACTATTACAAAGAAAATAACCATAAACGTACGATAGGTTTATTGAATACTGAAAATTATTCACAGGAAATAAAAATCGGAAAAAATATTGAGAGTAACCAAAGCCACTTGAAAGAGCTTAATCATTATGTACAGTTACCAAGGCTTTTTAAGCAAAGTGTGCCCCCGCATCATTCAAAACAGTCTTCAGCACCGGAGTTATCTCTGCCTTCGTCTGATGAACCATCACTGTTGGCATCAAACGTTAAAATAAGTTCTAGCAGGTCCAGTCCAGCGGATGAATTCTCTCCATTCCGATTTGGACTTGTCCCCTGCCTTTGCAGTGAAAACAATTGCAGCATAAGGTCTTGTGGTGAAACCATGTTGTGTAACCAGCCCCTTGCCTTGTGTCTCAGCTGGAAACCATTTGGTGCATGATAGCCTGCAACACGGTTGGGGGTGGACGAGGGTCCAACAAGGGCAATGCCAGACCTGATTTCCCAATTCAGTGGAATTCTACCAGCTCCTTTGTTGCCTGAGAAGAATAGGAGAGAAGTGAGCAATAAAGAAGGCATACATACAGCAAAATTTGAGAGCTCAACAGGGCTCTGAGTCTACTGATAAATTATTATTCCACATTTCCATCTAGTGATGCCCGAAGACTCGACGAGTCTATAAAAATGAAGTTATGAACTGTTTGGAAACATGTATGAGTTATATGTGCTTGAGAACTCAGTACCCATCAACCATTACTGCTAATACCCAATTTAAGAAAAAACAGTGGATCTAATTTTTCTGTCAATACCCAATTTTTCTGATAATATCAACTTCTTTTTTGCTAATACCCAATTTCAATTAGCCACAAACAAACATAAATACCCACATGAAATATAACAACTAATAGGACAACTGCATATAAAGAAACAATATCACAGAACAATTTATATTTTTTTATTTATTAAAATTTGATTCAAGTTGATTAAAATTTATTTTTTTCATATTGAAATTTGAGCTAATTAAAATTTAAATTTTTTTATATATCAAAATTCCAGCTGATTAAAATTTAATGTGAGTTGATTAAAATTTAATTTGAGCTTCGAATAGAATTTTAATCTGATTAAATTATAATACGTAAAAAAATTATAATTGGTAATCAACTCAAATTTTAATACATCATTTTTTTTAGTTAACTCAAATCAAATTTTAATCTGTCCCAATTTTAATATATAAAAAAATTAAAAAAATAAAAGGGGTCTCATTGAAAATATGTCTATCTAGAGGGGGTATAGATGAAATTTTTTCTAAAATATATTATAAAAAATTTAGTAAAATTACATTTTAATTAATACTTTTAATCTGACAGAGAGTGAGTAAAAATTCAAAAAATAAAAGAGATGTTCTCGAAGATATAATAAATTAAAAAGATTGTAACCGAAAACTTTCTTTATTAAAAAGATTGTAACCGAAAATATATATAGTTTTCTTTGAAGCATATGCCATTTTTTTTTGCTGATCGAGAGAATCTGAGTACAAGTGAGAGATGCTTTAGTAAGGAAATAAAGAAATAAACATAGGTGGGAACATGGACATCCCAGGCTTCATGGCAGATTAGTGAGCTCTTTGTCTTGTATTTTTATAAACAAAATTACAAGTAAAATAATAACGCAACGCAATAGAAAAATAGAATACAAAGATTTACGTGGTTCGGCTCAACAAGTAAGTCTACATCCACGAACGAAACACAACGTTAAAATTTCACTATTGAAAGGTTGGAGATTACAATGTTATCAGAGCAAATCAAAGAGAAAATTATATATTTGCTCTATTTCATTAATAAAATATTTATTAGATTTAACAAAATAGAGCAATTTCAATTTATCACACACAAAGAAAACTCTTGTACCCTCGTCAATGACCAACCACTAACTCACTGGAGAAGGCATCATTTTTATCTAGTTTCTACACTAAGGAATTTGATTCTTTCACAAAGTCTTTATGCTGAGGAGGTTTCACGTGTAGGACAAAAAAACCAAAGACTCCTTGAAGGCTTTGAGTTTAAACAACAAAAGTCCATGTTGGAATAAATTTCACTAAAATAATAAAACCAAGATAATCCTAATTTAGGTCAAACTTGTCTATCAAAGACTCTAATGAAAACTCATGTCTTCAATTAGAGTCCATATAAAAAACAATTGACTTGAATACAAGTCATCACAACAAATCTCTACCTTGACTTGTATTCCATCTATCCATCCAACTAGTGTGAACTTGATCGCTGCTTTTGTCAAATACCCCGAAGTGTACACTCAAATAGTGCAGACACCAATCAAGTCCAAGCAATACTTGAACTTGAACACTGGTACCGGCTTAGTAAACATATCTGCTGGGTTCTCTGCTGTAGCAACTTTTTTCACTGTGACAATATCTTGAGCCATAACTTCATGAAGGAAGTGATATCTAACATCAATGTGCTTGGTCCTTTCATGATACATCTGATTTTTGGTCAAATGTATTGTACTTTGACTATCACAAAACACAGTAGTTACCTTTTTTTCCAAGCCCAAATCACAGACCAAACCTCTTAACCAAATTACTTTTTTAACTGCCTCTGATACTTCCATGTATTCTGCCTCTGTGGTAGACAAAACAACTGTAGACTGTAGCATCGCACTCTAACTTACAGTGCACCCAAATAAAGTAAAAACATAACCTGTCAGAGATCTCTTTTTATCTAGATCACCTGTATAATCTGAATCAACAAAACCAACAACTGTAAAATCGATGTCATCTCTTCTACCAAATACTAAGCCAACATTTGTAGTGCCTCTCAAATAACGAAGTATCCATTTCACAGCCTGCCAATGAACCTTCCCTGGATTAGCCATGTAACGGCTAACCACACTAACTGCCTGTGAAATATCTGGACGAGTGGAAACCATAGCATACATGATGCTTCCAACTGCACTAGAATAAGGAACACGAGACATAAATTGCTCATCATTCTCACTCTGTGGTGATAAAGCTGCTGAAAGCCTAAAGTGAGCGGCAAGTGGAGTACTCATGGGCTTCGAATTCTGCATCCCAAACCGCTCAATAACTTTTTCAATATATTTCTTTTGAGATAAATATAACATACCTGCTCTTTTATCCCTGTGAATCTCCATACCCAAAATTTTCTTTGCAGCAGCCAAATCTTTCATCTAAAATTCTGAACTCAACTGTTTCTTCAACCTGTCAATCTCTAACATGCTCTTAGCAACAATAAGTATGTCATCCACATAAAGCAATAAATATATCAAAGAACCATCTGACAACTGTCTGTGATACACACAATTATCATAATAACTTCTAGAGTAACCATGATCTACCATAAAGGTGTCAAAACGTTTGTACCATTGCCTTGAACACTGTTTTAAACCATATAATGATTTCTTCAACAAGTAAACATGATCTTCTTTACCTTGAACAATAAATCCCTCTGGTTGATGCATGTAGATTGTTTCCTCTACCTCACCATGTAGAAAAGCTGTCTTTACATCAAGTTGCTTAAGCTCAAGATTGAGTGAAGCAACCATGGTAAGCAATACACGAATAGAGTTATATTTTACCATTGATGAGAAAACTTCATTGAAGTCCACACCCTCTCTCTGACTATAGCCCTTTGCAACTAACCGTGCCTTGTACCTTGCAGATTCAATCCCTGGAATTCCCTCATTTTTCTTGAAGACCCATTTGTAGCCAACAGTCTTCATGCCCTTATGCAACTTCATTAATTCCCAAGTCTGGTTCTTATGAAGAGATTTAATTTCCTCAGCCATAGCAACAACCCAATGTGTAGACTCTTTACCTGTTACAACTTCTAAATATGTAGAAGGCTCCTGAATATCAAACTCTTCTACTATAGTCAGTGCATAAACCACCAAGTCTGCATACCCATATTTTTGAGGGGGTCTAATTTGTCTCCTCTCCCTGCCTGTTGCAATACTATACTCCTGTGGATCATCACCTGAACTAGAAATAGACAAATTTGAAATAGATTGAACTGGAGTACTTTCAAGTACATTATGTGAAGCTTCCACTTGTAGCTCCACCTCCTTGCTATAATCTTGTTCTTTCCTTGTAGAAACTACGAACTCCTTTCTCGAATGAAACACGAAAGATTCATCAAATACAACATCCCTACTGACTATAAACTTAGGTGATTTAGGATAAGAATACCACGATTTATATCCTTCCACACCATTAACATAACCAATAAATATGCACTTCTTAGTCCTAGGCTCAAATTTACCATCATTCATATGACAATAAGCAGTGCAACTAAATATTTTTAAATCAGAATAATCAGCAGGAGTAGCAGACTATACCTCATGTGGAGTTTTCAACTCAATAACAGTGGATGAAGAACGATTAACCAAATAACAAGCAGTGCTGACAGCCTCACCCCAAAAATCTTTATACAATTTTGCATTGGAGAGCATACAACGTGTTCTCTCTAAAAGAGTTCTGTTCATCCTCTCTGCAACCCCATTTTGCTGTGGAGTAGACCAGATAATACGATGCCTAACAATGTTTTCATCTTTGCAAAACTCATTAAATTCACCTCCACAAAATTTCAAACCATTATCTGTTCTGAGACGCTTAACTTTCTTGTTTGTCTGTTTCTCAATCAAAGTTTTTCATTGCTTGAAAGTCCCAAAAATTTCACTCTTGCGTTTCAAAAAATATACCAAACCTTTCTTGAATAATCATCAATAAAGGTCAAAAGGAACCGAGCACCACCCTTAGATGGAATATGAGAAGGACCCCAAAGGTCTGAATGAATATAATAAACTGTACCTTTAGTTCTGTGAATAGCTGTACTAAACTTGACTCTGCACTGTTTCCCAAAGACACAATGCTCATAAAAATCAAGTTTCTCAATTTCTTGTTTGCCAAGCAAACCCTGTTTACACAAGACTTCCATGCCCCTTTCGCTCATGTAACCCAAATGCATATGCCATAATTGGGTAGTATCTGAATCTGAAATTTTTGAAGATGACACACCAACTGCACCAATCACAGTATCACCATGAAGAACATATAGACCATTAATCTTTTTACCTTTCATCACAACCAGGGAACCTCTGCAGACTTTCATAACTCCACCTTCAGCAGAAAACTTGCAACCAATGGAATCTAAAGTATCCAAGGAAATCAAATTCTTCTTTAATTCTGGAATATGTCGTACATCTGTCAAAGTCCTCACAACCCCATCACGTGTCTTAATTCGGATAGTACCTATTTCAACAGTCTTGCAAGCAACATTATTTTTCATCAAGACTGAACCACCATTGACTGACTCATAGGTGATAAACCAATCCCTATTAGGGCATATATGATAGGAATAACCCGAATCAAGAATCCATTCATCATTAAAACGTTCATTAGAGACTGTAAGGACATTATCTGAACCACCAGATGTATCTTTTGGAACACCAACAGCACTAGAGGAATTGAAAGGATTTGAATTTTTTTGTCCCCCTTTATTTTTCAACTTAAAACAATCATGCTTATAATGACCAATTTTATGACAATAAAAACATTCAACATTATTCTGTTTATTCCTAAACTGTGATCGATATCCTGTTTTTCCTTTTCCTTTATCTGAATTTCTTTCAATGGATCGACCTCTATTATTATTAAAGGAATTATCACGACGACCCTTCACAAATAAACCCTCGGCTTGAGTATCACTACCCTTACTATTCAATTTAGTACGCAACTCCTTAGAATTCAAAGAGGATTTCACATCAACTAAAGAGATTGAGTCTCTCCCATACAACATCGAATTAACAAAATTATCAAACGAATCAAGCAGCGAGCATAACACAATCAGAGCTTGATCTTCATCCCCAATTTTAATATCAATATTTTTCAAGTCAATAATAATTTTGTTAAATTCATCAAGATGTTAATTAATGGGCGTATCTTCTTTCATCTTGAGTGTGTACAACCGTTGCTTCAGATACAAGCGGTTAGCGAGAGATTTTTTATATATAAACTCTCCAACTTTTTCCATAACCCTTCGGCTTTGTCTTTATCGATAACCTCACGAAGAACTTCATCAACAAGAGACAACTGAATTGCACTGTGTGCTTTTTCTTCAATATCAACAACTTTAGTTTGATCTGTCTCCTTGGATAAAGTTCCATCAATGGCCTTTGCCAAACCCTGCTGACGAAGCAATGCCTTTATCTTGATCTGTCATAAATTGAAATTTTTCTGACCATCAAATTTTTCTATCTTAAATTTTGCGGTAGCCATCCCGAAACCAATAGCTCTGATACCAATTTATTATAAACAAAACCACAAGAAAAATAATAACGCAACAAAATAGAAAAATAGAACACAAAGATTTACGTGGTTCGGCTCAACAAGTAAGCCTACATCCACGAACGAAACACAACGTCAAAATTTCATTATTGAAAGGTTGGAGATTACAGTGTTCTCAGAACAAATCAAAGAGAAAACTAGATATATGCTCTATTCCAATAATAAAATATTTATTAGATTTAACAAAATAGAGCAATATCAATTTATCACACACAAAAAAAATTTTTGTACCGTCGTCAATGACCAACCACTAACTCATTGGAGAATACGTCCTTTTTATTTAGCTTCTGGACGAAGGAATTTGATTCCTTCACAAAGTCTTTATGCTGAGGAGGTCTCATGTGTAGGACAAAAAAACCAAAGACTCCTTGAAGACCAACAAAAGTCCATGTTGGACTAAATTCCATTAAAATAATAAAACCAAGATAATCCTAATTAAGGTCAAATTTGTCTATCAAACACTCCAATAAAAACTCATGTCTTCAATTAGAGTCCATATAAAAAACAATTGACTTGAATACAAGTCATCACAACATGTATCAAGCAACTTCTAACTGTAGAGGGATTCAGTCAATAATCCTTAAAAATATGTGGCTAGTTGCCATTTGGCGAACTCTTGCAGTGGAATTGGCTGTTCTTGGTGTGTGTCACATCATCCGTTGCTTGGTGCTTGGTCAGCAATTCCTTTATGTCACTGATGATAGCGAAGATAGACAAATGGGGCTTCATGTGTTGAGATAGCCGCATGAACTAACATCTGTAAGTCACTCCCAATGACAACGTAGCTCCAATTATTGTGATCAGCCAATAGTGCTGCATGTTCGGATGCCTTGGACAGGATTCAGCAATCAAGGAGGGGTCATGATCCTGTTCATGGAGAGCCAATGCTTCAATCACTTTAGCTTCGCTTGTACTTGATGGGGCTGCTAGGCAAGATTGCTCTTTACTGGTTGCTGCGTCACCATTAGTTTTTATTTCCCCAATGAGAGGCTTGGACCACTTTACCACCCTATTTTTGTTTGTCTTTATTCAAGTGTCAATGGTTTTCATAAAGAATGGACACAGGCTCTAGTTTGCTCTTTGTGTGATAGATTCTATTACTCCATAATGGCTGGGAAAAGAGTAAGGTGATGATAATGGGGCTGCAAGCTCCAAAGACTAGTGGAACATTTAAAATGTAGTGGATCCACTGTTGTATTGTGAAGTGAACACAAGCTTCTGTGTGAAAACCCCATCTGGAAAACCAAATCATGCGGAGGAGGGGGCAGTGGCAGAAGAGATGATTATCAGTCTTGCAGCATTGTTGGCAGAGGGGGCATACAATATCAGATATCTCTTTATGTCTGGTAGCCAGGATGCTTCTGGTCGAGATGGCTCTCAGTGGCAATTTTTTCACAATATCTCTTTGTCTGTCGTGAATGGGGGCGTTCCATAATCTCTGCCAGCCCGCTTTGTTCAGGTAGAAGCTTGTGACCTCCTGAGTATCTCTTAAGGTTTACATAAGCAGATTTGGTGCTGAAGTCCCAACTTCTTGCCACTATCCAAGCCATGTGATCTTCACATTGAAAGGAAAGGATTTTAAATCCATCTCAAGCAACTGATGGAAACAATGATTTCAAATGAAAAATGGGTTTCAAACAATTGATTTCAGGTAAGAGCAGTGAGATGATGATGAGCATATAAATCAATAACAAGACCAAAAAGAAGACATGGCAAGAGAACTTATAGATCGATGGAGGATAAAGAGCTAGTTCTTTGTTTAGGTTCGTTGGCAGGGCTATAGACCATGGAAATGGGACATTTACAAGCTAGCAAATTAGATTTTATCTTAATTTGATAAAGTAAGAACCACTAAATTTGAAGTTCTGGTTACAAAACTATTGGTTTGATATTCTTAAACATGTGGTGTTTCAAAGGTTAGCCATAATTTTTGAGTTTTTTTTTTAAGTTTTATGGTTAGGGGGTGTTCGGATCAATTTATGCGCATTTCAACAATTTCTGAGTTATGTGAAGATTGATTTCAGTTTTATAAATCAATCCAGATAGTGAGATTTTGGTCATATTTTTGTAATTGTATACATTCAATAGAAATATTTATTGATATATATGTTGATGATTTTTTCACTTTTTGTAAGAGATCTTACGATATCGTGGTTTAGACTTTCTTTGCAAAATTTAGAGTTTCATATAAATTTCTATTATTGAAGTTACATCGGACTCTTGAACCACTTGCTTAGATCAAAGGTTTTCTCAGGAAGTCTAACTACGCCTTTTTTTTTTCTCCAAAAGTTAAATAAACTTTACTAACATAAAAAAAAAAATTAATCTATGAACCCGCATGGATAGCCCAATGGTGTGGGTTGAATTTAGGACAAGTCGTAAATTTAGATGTTCTTAGTTCAATCATTGTTACTAATTCCTGAATTTAATTAATATTTGTGATTTGTGAATAATTGTAAGTATCTGAAATTTACTCTGTAGGGGAGAGTCCGATATGACCAGCCTTGTAGAGATTCAATGAAGCTCAAAATGCTCAAAGGGACACAATCCTTCCCACAAAGACAAATATCTCGAAGCAAAACAACTAGTAAACAAAAGTGAATAATTCCTACATTCTGAAAACTGCAAAGCTTTATCATTTCTGTGTTCAAGCTTCCACAAGAGGTCTCTTCTTACTTCTTACTCAAAAGGACCAGTTCACAAGAAGGTTAATCGAAAATGGCGCGGATCATTAGTTGAAAATTATTGATATCCTATTTCACAAACACATTTTAACTCCCATTATTATTTATTTTTACGTTTGCAGAAGTAATATTAATGTACAATGATCCTCCAAAAAAAAAGGTAACAATAGTTCTACACACAGATTATTCACTATAAACATAGGTTTGATCATTGCTTGATCTTTCACTCTTTAGTATCTGAGTCATCTTGATGGTTGATCTCTTCTTTTTCAGCTGCTGCTGAAGCTTCTGCAGGAAAATCTGAACCCAAACATGGAAATATGAAAGTCAAAAAATAAGAAAACAGCTTGTTATACTTAATAAATTGTAGAGCAATCTCACAAAAGGTATGTGCAATTCATAGCCAAATGTAACTAGACATCAATGAAGGCATATAAGTTACAAATCAAATTGGGATCAAAACCAAATATTATGATCCACTCAGAGCCTTGCTCTGGTAGATATGCACCGGAATCCGCAAGGAAGGATAGGACATAGAATAAGGACCTAAAGTTATTTGTCGGATGAGACCGATATCCGAAAGATGCCTATCAAAGAGTGAGAGGGACTGACTAGACGGCTGTCTACCAGGTCTGAAGGTTGCAAAACCTTAACTCGAAAAATAAATATTTGTAACGTTTTAGGATTCATACTAGACAATCTCACTATGTCGTAACTTTAATCGAATGAATTCTTACTTTACCATATTAAGTCATAATTGGTAATGAAGTCTTACTGAATCATAACACTTGGGCATCATTGGCTTTTCCTAAGTTAAACCATGCATAACATAAGTTCATCTATACAAGTTTCCCAATTGCCATAAGTTGCCACTTTATCTCCTTTCTTAAATGGATCACAACTCTGAATATTTTCCATTAGTGACAAAAAAACATAAGCAAAATTGCTCTTTTTTTGTTTTCTCCGGGAAAATAAAGAAACATTTTATTCAAGAATCTGTACGGTACATCTTAAAAGCAAAAACAGCCAATTTGGGAGATGAAATTCCAATGAGGTGCTAAACTAAAACGTTATTCAACAGTACCTAAATCCATTCAAAAATTAAATACATGGACACAACGTAGAAATACCTTGCAATCTCAGCCTTTTGGGAAGAGAGCTTTGGTTTTGGTCATCCATCCCATTCATGAGAGAGCTAGACCTTTTAAGGTTTTGTGCTTTGACATGTTCCATATAATAGGAATTATCTGATTCCTCATCGCTGGAGATTTCGATTACCTCAGATTTTTTGGGGATGTCATTAGCTTCTACATTTTTCTCACTAAGCATTGAAGGATCCAGGACTTCATTTGAAGGACCTGCAAAAGGATTGTTCAACACATCAGCAAGGTTTGTGTTTGAGAGAGAGAGAGAGAGAATTTTGGTTATAGTCTATTTACATATTATGACAAGGACCAGCAAAGTTTAGTGATTAAAGGTCCAATAATACATTACATTCTTAGTTACATGAAAGAGTAACACTACTCTGTAAAGGAAAGAACAGAAAATGACAATTATACCCCTTCTATACTTAAGTACTCATCGAGAGTCTCTCTCTCCCTCCTCTCCCTTTTTTCTCTATATCACACACAGAGAGGCATACATTCGCAGACTAAATATACCTATGTCTACAGATGACAGTGGACCGAAGCGGGGGCGGGGGTGTAGTCTCCACCCAAGTACCCGCTTAAAACAACTCTGTTTATCCTCGGTTTACCTCCGTTAACGGGTATATTTATCATCTCCATCCCCGTCTGTGGATAAATTTGTAATCCTTGCCCTCGCCTCGTCCCCTGCCCCTATCCCCTGTCCATTTTACTCGTTCCAGCGCAAGTTCAAGCCAACATAATCCAAAATTTTAATAAATCTAACATTTTAAATAATTCAACATAATTATAGAATATCATAATATAATTAAAAGCTTGTCATTTATAACATAATCCAACATAATATAATTAAAATCTTGTCTCCCATGTAAATCCAACACAATATAATGCAATACAACATAATATAATAACATAATTCAACATAAAAAATATAAAAACACAAAAATTTACACTTTTACAAGCAAAAAACATGAAAAAAAGTTAAAAAATAAAATCATTTTTAATAGAAAAAATAATTCAATAATATATAGATTTGTATTCACAACAACATGTATCTATATAAAATAATAATAATAATAATAACGGGTAAAGCGGGGTGGAGAGGAGGCGGGGGTAAGTGTCGGTTCATTTCCGCTTTCATTTCTGCACGGGTTTAAAAATGTATCTCTGTATGCGTCCACTGTTCAATACGTATAGTCTATCTCTAGTTCAAACGGAACAAGTTTAGACGAATACTAATTTTTATTCTGTCCATTACCATTCCTGCCCTTGTCTTTCTCCTAACCTCTCCCCCTTTCCTATCCTCACTGTTGGTGGACACCACATTCGCAAACCATTATCCTAACACACACGTGCAAGTGCACGTGCATTGTCTCCCTCTCCTAACCTCTCCCTTTCTTCTCCTCACAGTCAACAGAATACGAACATCTACTTCCAGGACCTCAAAGAACCACAAGTCTCACCCCAGCAGCACAAACATTACTCAGCTCAAATGTGCAATCAAAATCTCATTGGTGTCACCATTCTTGAACCCACGACTTATGGGTGTTGGTATTGGAATTACTCGAATTAGAAAATCGCGCTCACATCATTTTGTTGGGATTAAAAGGATTAAAAATAGAAAAATGCTATTTTTACTTAATTTGGAGATCTAATTCAATATAATTATTGGATCGGTATGAGCTCCATCTAACATTACAATTCATAACTAATCCAATAGTTGCATTGAAGTTATATCAATAGGTTCCTATAGCATTGCTCTTAAAAATAACATGAAAGTAAGTAGAAAAGGATATTAATACTTAAAGACAAAACTAATTTCATTCAAATTGATTATAATCATAACTTGCACTCTTCGCAGGCTCGCTCAACTCAACTCTACTAACTTCTTACATTAGGTCATATAACCCTATTTATATGGGTCATACATATAATTCTTAATATTACATTAAGGTACCATTACCTCCATTTGTTCTTAACCACTAAAACATTAAGATTCACTTTCTCCACTACTTGGAGAATTATTTTCCACCAACCCTTGATTTTGTATTTTCAAGTCTTTATCTTGTAAATCTCCTCATGGTTGACGGGCTTCATAGAATTATTGAAAAACTTCATGAACTGAATACCATTGAGCACCACCTTCGTCAATTGCAAGAGTCTTCAAAGTCAATTCCTCTGCGATGTAGGGCTTATGATAAATTTCCATACACTTGCAATTTATCTTCAAGTTGCTAATTTTCATCTTTATCCTCTTGCATTGATCTTCCTTTTTCTCAGACTTCTCAAACTTCTCTTGTGCTAGATCTATTGGATTGAAAAATTTCTCCATATTCAACCAACTTATGCCGCTCAAAATGTTCTCCACACCAAGTTAGTAAATAACAATTAGTGTAACTTTCAAGAAATTCATCGCCTTGAACATGATTCTCGAAAATTCTGACATGAGAATCTTCATTTTGATGTTGGATTAAAACATCCATCATAAGTTCCATCTAAAACATCTTTTTTTTGAAAAGTTAAAAAAAAGGGCTCTTTTCTTGATTAGTGGTCCTAATCTCACTAGAGTAGGTCAATGATCTGATACCCCCGAAGGGAAAAATTCAACCTCAGCTTGTTGGCATTTCTGGAGCCAAGCTTGGTATATCATGGTTCTGTCCAGTTTTTTGAAAACACAGTGACCTTCATCCCTCTTGCTGCGCCATGTGAAAAATAAACCTGAATATCTGAGATCTGTGAGTTCTGCTTCTTAAAAACATTCATCAAAGTCAACCATGTGTTTGCACCACCTATTCATACTTCATAGTTTCTCATGAATACCCTTTATAGTGTTGAAATCAACAATTACTAACCATGGTTAAGCAGAAAACCTCCTAGAGCAAGAGCAGAGATTTCTCCAAAGATGTTGTCTATTATGTTCATCATTATATGCATAAACAAACGATGCAAAAAAGCTAAAATTGAGTTCCACATGGTGGACATAAGAATGGATAACCACGCCAGATTCATAGATTTTACTAATCTCCAAAACATCAGGGTTCCATCTAACCCAAATTCTTCCCAATGTAAGGCTGTCATAGTTGGTGAAGGATTCCCAATTTCTAAATGTATTTCTCTTAATTCTAACCTTATTAACATCTCTGACTTTATTTTCAACAATATAACTAAATCCAATTGATGAGCCGCAATAAGTTTCCTCACTTCTAATGGTCTAGGGGTGAGACCCACAATGTTCCAACATGCCAAATTTAACATGAAAGATAAGGGAGAGAAATGACCTTAGGGTGAACCACATTTTTTTCTCCCCAAGTGGATGACTTGTTCTTCACCATTTTTTTTTCTTGCCTAAGATAAGCATTTTGCTAGGTGAAGTGACAGGTGGATGATCATGGGAGCATGGGGGATTGGCAAGGTCAGTGTTCATATTGGAGATATAGATTGACCCATCTCAAATTCTATCATCAGCAGAATGCTCCGATCAGAAAACTCTATCATCAGTAGATTCCATATCAACCGATGATAGAGTCAAATCCATTTTATACTCACCATCGTATTATATCAACTATATATACTGTAGCAGCGTACATCATTTACACACAATTCTAATAAAAAGTTTCAGCTTGTATATGGTATCAGAACAACTTTTGATACTTCTTCCACAACACCCCAAGCAATGGCCACCAGTCCTCTTCCTTCATGTCCCCCCCCTCTCCCACTGCCACAATTCTGACCACCAAACTCACCGAATCCAACTATACTCTTTGGGTCTCCCAAATTATGCGGTTATGCCGCATCTTCACGACCATCAAATTCTTGGGTACGTCGACGGGTCCATCCCCTGTCCACCAAAACACCTAGAATCTGGTTCATCTAAAATTAGCAACCCTACCTTCATTGCGTGGCAGCGGCAAGACCAGCTTCTCCTTGGCTGGCTACTTTCCTTTCTCACCGATGATGTCCATGCTTAGGTCATTGGATTCTCTACCTCTCATACCGTTTGGTCAGCCTTGCAAACTCTTATGCAACACACTCGAGGGCTCGCATTCTCCAACTTCGCATGACATTATAGTCCATCAAGAAGGGTTTTGACTTTATTCATAAATACTTCTATCGAGCAACATAGATTGCTCACCAATTGGTAGTCACTGAGCGACCCGTTTGTCAACATTAGTGCAACTTACTATGGTTTTCCTACTTAGGTGTTGCTGAATAAGTCTTAGGCTTTCTGAGTCTAAGTTTGTCTCATCCAGATTTTTAGGCATGCTGGTGTTTCTTTGGCAAAATTTCTCAACACACTCTGTTTTGTTCAGAAAGTTTAGAAACTATTTTCTATAAATTAAATTGTGTACTGGTTGGTCATATATACCAGTTTTCTTCTTGTGTAATAAAATATCTGCAACTTCTTTTCTTTCTGTCTTCTGTTTTGTTTTGTTACATGCTATCAGAGCCAGGTTCGAAGGGTTGATTCTTATACTCGTGAAGATGAATGGTGCTAATAATGTTGCTGTGGAAAACAACTTCAACTATTGGAAGCTTTCTTACAAAGACAAGACTTGTGGGTTCTTGTCTCTGGTGATGAAACTGTAATTCTAGACGACACGCCACAAAATGTCGAGTCACAAGGTGAAGTGCGGTAATACTTTATTTGCTCTACGCACCTCTATTAGAAAGGAGTATATTGAACATGTTCGTGATGAGCAATCACCGAAGAAGGTGTGAGAGACACTCGAGAGGTTGTTTACTCAAAAGAACACGATGCGGCTACAGTTCTTAGAAAATGAACTTGCTGGAATAAACCAAGGTAACCTTGCAATTCTAGAATATTTCTTGAAAGTTAAAACTTTAGCGCTGGAATTTCAGAGTTGGATCCTACTGAACCTGTGAGTGAGGCACGATTACGTCGTTATATCATTTGGGGACTACGGAAAGAATTCATGCCGTTCATCTCCTCTATACAAGGGTGGGCTAAACAACCTTCTATCATTGAATTGGAGATCTTGCTCTCCAATCAGGAAGCCTTGGTGAACTAGATGATCAATAACAAGCCTTTTGTGCAAGTGGACGAAGTATTAAACTCTAGGGATCAAGGTAAAAGAAATTTTTCTGGTAAGCATATTGTAGGTGGTCGTGTGCCTTCAAATGAAGAAGGTCAATCGAAGGAAACTTCAAAAACATGCTACAGGT